TTTGGTATATGGTGTGAGATTTAGGTCTATGCCTAGTTTGTGCCATACTCTTTTCCAGTTTTCCCAGCAGCTTGTTTCAAAGATTGGGTTCTTATCCCAGAAGCTGGGGTCTTTGGATTTATCATATAATACATTAGTATAGTCATTGACTATTGTGTCTTACATACTTAACCTATTCCACTGATCCAGCACTCTATTTCTTAGCCAGTAACCAAGCAGTTTTGATGATTGCTGCTTTATAATACAATTTAATATCTGGAATGGCTAGGCTACCTTCCCCTGCATTTCTTTTCATTAGTTCTCTTGATATTCTGGACCTTTTGGTCTTCCAAATGAATCTTGTTATTATTTTTTTTAACTCTATAAAATAATTTTTGGTAGTTTGATTGGTATGGCACTGAATAAGTAAAATAGCATAAGTAGAATTGTCATTTTTATTATATTAGCTCGGCCTACCCATGAGCAACTAATAATTTTTCAATTATTTAGATCTGATTTTATTTGCGTGAAAAGCATTTTGTAATTGTGTTCATAGAGTTCCTGAGTTTCTTTTGGGAGGTAGACTCCTAAGTATTTTATAATGTCTATAGTAAGTTTAAATGGAATTTCTCTTTCTGTCTCTTGCTCTTGGGCTTTCTTGGTAATATATAGAAATGCCGATGATTTAGTGGGTTTATTTTATAGCCTGCAACTTTGCTGAAGTTGTGTATTATTTCCAGTAGTTTTTTACTTGATTCTCTGGGATTCTCTAAGTATAACATCATGTCATCTGCAAAGAGTGATAGCTTTGTTTCTTCTTTGCCTATTATAATGCTTTCAATGTCTTTTTTTCGCTTATTACTAAAGTTAACATTTCCACTATGATGTTGAATAACAGTGGTGATAATGGACACACTTGTTTCACCCCCAATATTACTGAAAATGCTTCTACCTTGTCCCCATTACATATTACGCTTGCTGTAGGTTTTAGATAGATGCTATTTATTATTTTAGGGAAGACTCCATTTATACATATGTTCTCTAGTGTTTTTAATAGGAATGGGTGTTGTATTTTGTCAAAAGCTTTTTCTGCATCTATTGAGATGATCATGTGGTTTCTGTTAGTTTTGGTGTTGATATGATGGATTATGCTGATAGTTTTCCTTAAACTGAATCAGCCCTGCATTCTTGGTATAAATTCTACCTGGTCATAGTGTATTATGTGATAAGTTGTTTGTGATAAGTTGTGATAAGTTGCTGTAATCTATTTGCTAATGTTTTGTTTAAGATTTTTGCATCTATATTCAATCATTAGAGAAATTGGTCTATAATTTTCTTTCTATGTATTGATTCTTCCTGGTTTCGGTATCAGCACTATATTTGTATCATAAAAGGAATTTGGTAAGATTCCTTCTTTACCTATTTTACAAAATAGTTTTTATAGTATTGGAATTAATTGTTCTTTAAATATTTGATAGAATTCGCATGTAAATCCATCTGGTCCTGGGGATTTTTTCCTAGGGAGCTCATCAATGACTTGTTCAATGTCTTTTTCTGAGATGGGGTTATGTAAGTATTTTACTTCCTCTTCTCTTAATCTGGGCAATTTATATTTTTGCAAATATATATCCATTTCACTAAGATTGTCAAATTTGTTGGCATATAGTTGGACAAAATAATTCCTAATTGTTGTTTTAATTTCCTCTTCCATGGTGGTAGTTTCACCCTTTTCATTCTTGATACTAGCAATTTGGTTTTCTTCTTTCTTTTTTTTTTTAATTAGATTAACCAAAGGTTTATCTATTTTATTGTTTTTTTCATAAAACAAGTTTTTAGTTTTATTTATTAGTTCAATAGTTTTCTTAATTTCAATTTTATTAATTTTTCCTTTGTTTTTCAATATTTCTAATTTGGTGTTTAATTGAGGATTTTTAATTTGTTCTTTTTCTAGTTTTTTTAGTTGTATGCCCAATTCATTGATCTCTTCTTTTTCTATTTTATTTACGTAAGCATTTAGAGATATAAAACTTCCGCTAAGAACTGCTTTCGCTGCATCCCATAAGTTCTGGTATGTTGTCTCATTATTGTTATTCTCTTGAATGAAATTATTGATTGTTTCTATGATTTGTTGTTTGACCCAATCATTTTTTAGGATTAAATTATTTAGTTTCCAATTATTTTTTAGTCTATCTTTTCATGACCCTTTATTACATATAATTTTTATCGCATCATGATCTGAAAAGAATGCATTTACCATTTCTGCCTTTCTGCATTGGATTGTGAGGTTTTTATGCCCTAGTACATGGTCAATTTTTGTGTATGTGTCATGTACCACTGAGAAAAAAGTATATTGCTTTCTATCGCCATTCAGTTTTCTCCACAGGTCTATCATACCTAACTTTTCTAATGTTCTATTCACCTCCTTAACTTCTTTCTCGTTTATTTTGCGGTTAGATTTAGCTGGTTCAGAGAAGGGGAGGTTGAGTTCTCCCACTAGTATAGTTTTGCTGTCTATTTCTTCCTGTAACTCCCTGAACTTCTCCTCTAAGAATCTGGTTGCTATACCATTTGGTGCATATATGTTTAGTAATGATATTACGTCATTGTCTATGGGGCCTTTTAGCAGGATGTAGTTTCCTTCCTTATCTCTTTTGATAAGGTCTATTTTTGCTTTTGCTTTGTCTGAGATCAGGATTGCTACCCCTGCTTTTTTTACTTCAGCTGAAGCATAATATATTTTGCTCTAGCCTTTTACTTTTACCCTGTATGTGTCACTCTTTTTCAAATGTGTTTCCTGTAAACAACATATTGTAGGATTATGGTTTTTAATCCATTCTGTAATCCTCTTCCGTTTTATGGGAAAGTTCACCCCATTCACATTTACACTTATGATTATTATCTGCATCTTTTTCTCCATCCTTTTTTCAACCCTGTTTATGCTTTTCTTTCTCCTTTCCCCCCTCACTAGTGTTTTGTTTCTGACCAGCACCTCCTATGGTCCCACCTCCTTTCTATTATCCCTTTCCCTTTTCTTCCCCTTTACCCTTATTGCTTTTTCCCTCCCTTCTATCCCCCCTCCCTTTTCTTTCCCCTTTTGCCTCCTACTGCCTATAGTGCAAGTTAGATTTCTATACCTAACTGATTATGTTATTCCCTTCTTGAGCCAAATCTGATGAGAGTAAGGTTCAAACAATGCTCATCCCCCTCCCTTCTTTACCTCTGCTCTAATAGTTTTTTGTGTCTTTTCCTGTAATTTAATTTACCCTTGTCTGCCTCCTCCTTTCTCAGCACATTTTCTTAGCTCAGACTAATCCACTTCCTTGGATCCATTTAACCCACTTGATTAATTTTTTTTTATCATTACATCAAAGTCAACTTACATCCACCGCCTTTATGTATACTCCTTTAACATGGTATAATAACAATACAGCTCTCAAGAGCTGCAAGTATCATCTTCCCTTGTAGGGATGTAAACATTTTGCCCTCATTAACAACATATTGTATCTTTCTGTCCCATTTACCTTATTATGTCTCTCTTGAATCTTGTTGTTAAGATCAAATTTTTTATTGAGCTCTGGTCTTTTTATCAGGAATGTTTGGAAGTCCCCTTTTTCGTTGAATATCCATCTCCTTCCCTGAAAAATCACACTCATTTTCGCTGGGTGGTTAATCCTTGGCTACATTCCAAGCCCCTTTGCCTTACAGAATATCATGTTCCATGCCCTACGGTCTTTTAATATAAAGGCTGCAAGTTCCTGTGTAATCCTGACTATCGTTCCATCATATTTAAATTGTTTCTATCTGGCTGCTTGCAGTAATTTCTCTTTAATCTGGTAATTTTGGAATTTAGCTATTATATTCCTTGGTGTTTTCAATTTGGGATCTCTTTCAGGTGGGGAGCAGTAGATTCTTTCTATGGTTAGGCCTTCAGCTTCTAGGACTTCAGGGCAGTTTTCCCTTATGATTTCCTGAAAGATACTCTCTAGACTCTTTTTTTCATCATGATTTGCAAATGGGTCACTAATTTTTAAATTGTTTCTCCTGGATCGATTTTCCAGGTCAGCTGTTTTACCCATGAAGTATTTTACGTTTTCATCTATTTTTTCATTTTGTTGTTTCTGTTTGACAGATTCTTGTTCTCTCATAGAGTCATTAGTTTCCATTTGTTCAATACTAATTTTTAACATATTGTTTTTTTCTGTTAGATTTTGTACTTTCTTCTCCAATTGGTCAATTATATTTTTAAGGGATTTATTTTCTTCATTGTACTTTTTTTTCCAATTGGCCAATTGTGTGTTTTAGGGACTTGTTTTCTTCAGTGTACTTTTTTTCCAGTTGGCCAATTGTACTTCTAAAGGACTCCTCTACCTCTCTCATTTGACTTGTAAAATCCTTCTTGAGCTCTTCTAAGAAGACTTTTTGGGCTTCAGACCAGTTCATATTCCTTTTTGATGTTGCAGATGTGGATTTGATGACAATGTTGTCCTCTTCAGAATTTCTGTCTTGAACTTCACTCTTTTCATAATAAGAATCTATGGTACATTTCTTTTTACTCATGGTGTTTCTTTATTCCCTGGCCTGTACAGAGATTAAGCTCTGCTGCTGGGGAGCAGAGGGCACTGACCCAAGCTTCTTGTGTTGGGAGCCTAGGTCTTGGTCACTGGCTTTGGGAGCTGGGGCCTCTTATGTTGGCAATTGGAGGCTGCAGGGTTCTGGCAGCTTATCTGGTGTTGGGCTGGAATCAGCAAGGCTGGGACTTTCAGGTAAATCTAGGTTGCCTGCTTTTCCTTTCCTTTAGCTTTGTTTAGTTCCTTTTAGATAAGTTCTGCCAGGTGTTTATCTGCCTGGGGCCCCTTGCAGTGTGGCCTCCCCTTATTTCTATTGAGGCACTGGAAGACCTCCTTGCTGTAGAATGCCGAGGCACCTGGTGGTTTTCTGAGCTGGTTTCCACCAGTTACCCCACCCTCACTTAGGCACTCGGAGGTACAGCTGTTGGTGTTTGCCTGCTCAACCACCTGAGCTTTGGGATCTCCTCCTGGTTGGCAGTTGGAGGCTGTAGGGTTCTGACAGCTTACCTGGTGTTGGGCTGGAATCAGCAAGGCTGGAACTTTTTGGCACCTCTAGGTTATTTTCTTCAGCTCCTTTCAGATGAATGCTGCCACATGCTTATCCATCTGGGGCCTTTGTAGAACTGCTTCTCTTATTTTTGCTGAGACACTGTGAGACCTGTTTGCTGTAGAATGCCCAGGCACCAGAATCTCCTTCTGGTGTGCTAAAGTGGGTCTTTCCACTAGCTGGCTGGGAGACTCCCAGTTCTGTACTGCTCCCCTTCCCCCAGGGTAAGAGGGGCCTTTCCCATTAATCCCTCTAGCTACCTGGGCTACTGCACTGCTGCACCCCATCTTTCTTCTGGTTCAGCTGTTCCAGGGTTTTTTCTGGGGTGATATTTTCAGAGGTTGATAGGTGAGGGTGAGAGCAACTACCTTTTTTCTCTGCCATCTTGGCTCCCAGAAGCAGAAGTTCCCCATTATGATTTTTAGTGAATTTTTACTATAGTAGGGTTTTATATCTCTTCCGTTAAACTGTGGGACTTTTTTTTCTAATTTTCTCCTCCTGGAGAGCAAGGTTTGGAATCAGGAAGGCTTGAGTTCAAATTTGGCCTCAAACTTACTAGCTCTATTTGTCTCTGTTTCCTCAACTGTAAAACATGGATGATCGCACCTATATTTCAGGTTGATGAGAATATAAAATGAGATAATATTTGGAAAAAGTCCTTATTACGGTGCCTGGAACATGGCAGCCACCACACAAATGCTTGTTCCTTTCCCTTATACAGTTTTCATTTCTTATATAATTTTGAAAAATGTATTTTTATTAAAAATCTTAATTGTTGTGTGGGAACAGTTTTTTTTTCTTTGAGGTTCTGATTATATGTACTTTTTTGGGGTTATTTTCATCTCCTGGGTTGGTGCTTTGATCATTCCCAGCCTAAGAAAAGTCTTCTTTTTTCCTCTTTGATCATTGCTGAGGCCTCAGGAGTTGAGTTCTAGATCTCCCTCACTCTGGAGATGGAATCAAGTTGATGACCTGTCCATACTGCTAGTCTTTCTTTATGTCTTTTCCATCACCACAGTCACCAAAGTTCTCTAACACAAGCAGCCTTAGTTGAAACCCTTTCTTTTGCATGAAGAGAGAAAACAAGGAGAAGCCTTTTCTTTGCTCCTCAGTTAAATTAAAGGAAGTCTTGTTGTGGTGTAAGTGACCTAATTGAGGCCTTTTCTACTGCACCTGAAGTTTATCAGGTTCCTAATGAAAACTCCAATATGGGGGCAGCTAGGTTGCCCAGTGAATAGAGCACTAGCCCTGAAGTCAGGAGGACCTGAGTTCAAATCCGACCTCTGACCAAACACTTGACACTTATTAGCTGTGTGACCCTGGGCAAGTCACTTAACCACAACTGACTAAAACTTCAATATATCTCAAATAAGTATTTGACATCAGAGAGAACAGGCAAATATTCCTTCAAATAAATTATCTCTTAGAATATGACTTGATAACAAAATCCTATTCTTCTTAAACCATGGATCTAACATGGTGTGGAACTTTGATTGTTTCTGTGCTATTCTTTGGAGACATTCTGACTTTTCCTTCATTAAAAGTCTTCAAAAAAAATTTAACGAGGGAGTTGGCTAGTTCACCTAAGAGCACATCCTGAGTTCAGGAGCATTGCCTATCAGGAGAAATGATGTGTAAAGCTGTGATCTATGCACACTTCTCTCTCTGAGAGATACTTGTAATCCCATTATTCTGAGCTATATCAGTTTGCCAAATGGCCAATTATTTCCTAAGAATGGACATAATTTCTTGAGGGCTATTTTCACATCCTTGTTTCTCAGGGAGTAGATCAGAGGGTTCAAGGCTGGGGTCACTATAGTATAAAACACTGAGGCCACTTTGCCTTCCTTCAGAGTCTGACTCAAACCAGGAACAATATATATATAAATAATAGGGCAATAATACATTGCTACCACAATTAGGTGGGAGGAACAAGTGGAAAAAGCTCTCTTCTTCCCTTCCTTAGTCCGGATCTTCAAGATGCTGGAGATGATAAAACCATAGGACACCAGAATGAGCAGAAAATTGAAAATAGCGAAGAACATGTCTGCCATAATTACCATTACATTGTTGACATAGGTTGAGGAGCAAGAGAGAGGCAATAAGGGAGGAATCTCACAAAAGAAATGATCAATGACATTGGGGCCACAAAAAGACAAGCGAACAGTCAATATGATGTGTATTGTTGTATTGGTCCCACTGATAGCCCACACTGCAGATGCTATGAGGCAGCAAGCTGCCTTGTTCATAATAGTGCTGTAATGGAGGGGCTGGCAGATGGCTACATACCGATCATAGGCCATGGCTGTAAAAACCAAGACCTCTGCTGCCAAACACCAAGTTAAGAAATAGATCTGAGCTATGCAGCCACCATAGGAAATGGTGTTCTTAGTCATTAGGTTCTGCAGCAACTTGGGCACCACAGTGGAGGCAGAGAGAACATCCAAGAAGGCCAAATTTATAAGGAAAAAGTACATGGGTGTATGGAGGCCTGGATTTAGACTGATCACAATGACAATGACGGAGTTACCTGTGAAAGCCACTATGAAAAGTCCTAAGAAGAGACTGAAGAGGAAGATCTGAACCTGAGGATTTTCAGAGAAACTTTGTAAGGTGAACTCAGCCACTGAAGAATGATTGCTTGATGCCATATGAGTAGGTGGTCAGGTTTTCTTTTGTCAGGATATGCCCACAAAATCCAACGAACAATAGATTGTTTTGCTTACTAAAGAAAAAAATTAGATCCAAATTAAAGAGAGGCAAATTAAAAATACCTTGATATTCCAAAATCAAATTTTGACAAATTTATCTGTGTTACACGAGAAACGCAAAATGGAGAGATATGATTTGGTTGGCGAGATCTCTTCTCAATGAATTCATTCTCCCTGCAGAATTAAATCACACACACACACACACACACACACACACACCACACACACACAAAATCATCCTTCAGGGAAATCATGCTCTTTTTCATCTGACATTTTACAGTACCTTCAGTGCTTTGTTTAAAGTTCCCCTTACTGTCCTAGCCATGTGGTAAGACCAAGTTCCATGCTATAATTCATTTATCTGAGTCTGGGGTATGAGGGATGGCCATGATTGGGAATTCTCTGAACTATTTACAGGCCAAAAACAAAATGGACAGGCAGGATATAGAGAGTGGAGGTACATGACTGGAAAGCAGTTGAAAGTAGTGCTGTATTTGTAATGGAAACTGGGTCAGAAACAGGATCAGATACAGAATCCAAGAGTCATACAAAGAAATTTATAGAGTAGTTAGGTGGCGCAATGCATAAAGTTCTGTACCTAGAGTTAGTAATACTTAAGTTCAAATCGAGCATCATACACTTACACATATGACTTGGACTAGTCACTTAGTCTCTGACTGCTATCACGATCTTCAGTCATTTAAACACTCAGTTTCTTCATCAATATTGTTCCCTTTCCTCTTCTCAATTCAGTATATGGATGAAATGCAATTTTAACAGAGAATTTGACATAGAATTCTACTCAAGTATTCCAATTCTCATGCCTGCCCAGGTGGGACCAGCCCTGTTTTTCAGTTTCCTCTCATTTCACCATAGCTGGACAGGTGCTTTTAAAGCATTTATCACTCTTCATGACAATGGTCTCTTGGAGTGGCAGAAATTTAAATTATCTCTAATCAATCTGCAGAATAGAAAGGAGTCTTTAAAAATATTATTTAAAATATAATAAATATAATGTGATCTAAATTACCAAATTCAATTTTACCCCCAAGGATTTTCTTAGGTCATTTTGGCTCAGGTTGATTAGTTTTCTTTTTTTCCTGTTTTTTCTTGGCAATGTGCTCAGTGTCTGACATGTTATTAATTAAGCATAAGATGAAGCTATTGCATAATTGACCCCATTATACATGAAATGTTCACATTTTAATGACCTGTACTGACATCATGTAGATACAGCTTCTCTACAAACTATCTCCTAGCAAATGGTTAGTTTAAAGAAGTCACATTTTTTTTTATTTTTCCTGTAAAGCAAAGAATAATGGGAATGGGCTTAAATTATATCAAGGGGACACATATGATCTAAGAAAAACAGATATTAACAATATAGGTAACTGACCATTGGACAAAAAACCCTGGGAAAAGGAGTAGGATCTTACCAAAAATCTGCTAACCTTTAGGTTTTAATGGCGATCATTCTAGTCTGTCAGTCAACTCCACATTATAACTGGCCAGAACCTTCTCATCCTTCTAAGTCTTAAAGCTACTCACAAGGGTTCATAATGTAGACAAGACTGGGAAGTTGTGAGAATGGTCTGGGCCCTGAGGAAGTAAGGCAAAAGCTCATATAACGGAAGCTGGAGACCCAGAAGTGTAGTCCCAATTTCCATAATAGGTAGGAGCCAAGGATGTGGACAAAGAGCTGGCCTTCCAGTAAGAGAGTTTCAATTTAGTCCTTCTTCTGTGTAGACTCTGTATACGTTACTTACCTTTTTTGTCCCAATCAAATCTCACTCTCTAAGATTATTTGAAGATGGATTTCTCTTCCTTCATAAAGGAAATACTTCATCATGAACTCCCTATGTCAAAGAAACCACATGTATGAGTAGAGAAAGAGACAGACACAGAGAGAAAGAGGCCATCTCCCTCTGAGATTACCTCCAGTTGCCCCTCTGTATATCATGTTTATACATAATTGTTTGCATGTTGCCTCCCCCATTATTGTCTGAACTTCCAAAAGGCAAGTACTACTTTTGCCTTTCTGTGCAGGCCCAGTACTTAGCACACAGTGCCTGGCACATACCAAGTACTTAGTATTTGTTGACTGACTGACTCATGTAAGGATATTTAAAATATCATTGGCTTATGAATCTTAAGAAAGCAATAAAGAAAGAAGCATGAAATAATAGCTAGATTCCTGGGTTTGGAGTCTGGAGAAATCTGAATTTGAAGCTCACCTCTGTATTTAACTAGCTAGGGGATCATTGGTGAGTCTGTTACTCACTCTATGAATCTCAATGTCCTTATCTGCAAAATAGGGATAAATATCAGAGATGACTTCCACAAGAGGCTGTTACAAAACTACAGTGAGAAAATGAATGACAAATGATTCACAAATCTTAAAGTACGATATAACATCAGTTATCATTATTATTATTCAATGGTAAGAATAATGAAAATAAATAAGGGACCTTTGCAAATGAAGATGATAGAAGAAATAGAGGCAAAGAGAAAGAAGCACAGAGAATAGTATTGAAAAATTATTTCATGTACATTGCTTCATTTGGTTTGAGTGACAATACCACACTATAGATAGGACATCCATTACTGTTCTCATTTTGAAGCTAAAGATACTTGAGATACAGGGTAGTTAACTGACAATTTACTGCCTTTTGACTTTGGGAAAATAACTTGAGTTGCTGATCCTGTATTCCCTACTCCCTGTAAAATGAGAACATAGGACCTATAAGAAGATATGAGATATAAGGACTCAAAGATAATCTATAAACTCCATCACCACCACCTAAATTTAGGACCCTTCACTTCCTCAGACTCTCACAGCAAATGACAGAGCTGGGCATAGATTCTAGGTTTCTTGACTCAGTTTCCCATCTCTTAATTCAGTGTGTTCTAGATGTCTTTGCCAAATACAATTTAGTATTTAAGTGATGTTTTCCCTATTTTGTTTGTTTTTTGTTTTTTTTTTACTCAATAAGACAGGCCTACAGTTTATCTTTCCCCATTAGGATATAAGCTCCTTGACAATGGGGGATTTTTTTTCTACTTGTATTTGTGTTCTTAGCCCTTACCATACTGACTTGACTTCTATGGGCAAGCATATCAGCTATAGCAGCTCCTCAATACCATTAAGACAATATAATCACAAATATGTTCATGGTGCTTTTATCAATGAAAAGGTTAGTACAGACTATATTCACTTTTGAAAATGACGTCTTTCCTGTCCTGAAAATGCTTCTAAAGGTGCATCTATTTCAAGTCATTGTTCACTGGCTGATGAATCCTAGTCCCCTTTCTCTTATACCTTAACAAACACATCACCCTCTGTCCTCATAATCCCTGTTCCCAAAGTCTCAAAGTATTAGTAGTCAGTTGAGAAGGAAGATTAGATACTTGAGCAAAGATATGAAATTGACCAGTCTGGTAAGTTTCCAAGATAGTACGTTTCCAAGAAAAAGGAGTGGGTTATTTTGTTGTCACATCATCTGTGATGAAGCAATGCAAAAGATAGGGGGAGAGAAGGTGGGCCAGCAGTAATTGGCTTTTTTGTCTCTTCTCATGTCTCGCTCCTCACCTTTCCTTTGTGATCCCCATGGCTGGAACCACCTCTCCCTACTGTCCCCACCAAAGAAGACCCAGAAGATCAGCTAAAAGCAAGAGGAGTAGCCATATAAAGGGACTCTGCTTGTGGTAGTTGCTAGATTGAAACAAATTATATAAAGACTTTGTTGAACAAGACTTCAGGAAGGAAAACTTAACCAGTTCTCTAAAGTTATAGAACATCATATCAAGGATACAACAGAAAGTTCTGGAACTCTCAGGTTTACTCTCTGCTAATAAAGATTTAAGATTGTGAAGAAATCTATAAGTCTGTATAAAGCAAAGTTTTATACATTTCTTTTCCTGGTCACACAGTCCTGCAAAACATGGGACAGATGTAATTATCTTCACTTTGCAAATGAGAAATCAGGCTCACGGAACTCAACCAGCTTGTCAACAGTGGAAATAAGTGGCAAAGCTAGATCCCTCTGATTCTAATTTCTAATCATATCAGATTTGTGATCTAATCAGATCTAATCAACTCTAAGTCAAATCAGATCCTTCTTTTTCTAAATTCAATTATCTTTCTACTATGCCCTGTTGTCTTTTTGAAATAATGGGTTTAATCACTGGCATGATTATATATTCCCCCAAGAGGGAAATCACTTAACTGCAAGGCAGTTATCTGAACTAAGCTAGGCAAATTTTAAAAAAAAAAAAATATATATATATATATTACTAATAGAGTATAAATAAAATATACAAATAGAAAAAAGTTATATATTTATATATAATATACAAGTATAAATGCATTATACATTTATATATCATATAAATATCTGTGTTTGTATAATATTATATTGTACTACATTTATTGTATTTATTATAGTTTATGTTTATTTTGTAGTTTAATATTATTATGGTTTATTTTTATACTTTATTGCATTTTATTATAGTTTATGTGTTTGGATAAAGATAAATACCAAGTTGTAAAGGAGGACATAGAACTTATACTTTATACCAAAACCACAGAACAAAATTTCATCTTTGATTATTTCAAAATCTTAAGAGCTCACAATATGTTATTGCTGTGAATTAATATATGATGTGACAGGCAATGCAGAATGGTAAACAGAAGCCTGGCCTCACTGTCAGGAAGAACTGTATTCAAGTCATACCTCTTACACATACTTCAATGGGTCAGAGACTGAATGCTTAGTACCCCGGGCAATTGACACAACAGGTTGCAGCTGGTGCCAAACTGCATCAATGAAGCAAATTTCCATGCTAATTTTCCCTACAGTCACAAAATTACTGATCTGGACAAAAGGAGTGGTAGTAGTAGTAGTATTAGTAGTAGTAGTAGTAGTAGTAGTAGCAGTGGT